AGTCGAATTCGTGTCCCTCATTGTCTATGTGTAGTGAGACAAGTGAGGATTGGTCATGACTCTTGGTGGCTATTTGGTGTTCGTGTATCCTTATTGCCAGTTCTCTTCCAGTTTGGCCTATGTAGTGTTTCTCACAGTCCTTGCGTGGTGTTTTGTATATTATGCTGGCTTTGCTGGTTTTGGGTAGGGGATCCTTTACCTTCATCAGTAGCTGTCGTGGGGTGGTTTATGGGCTACTCTGATACCTAGGGGTCTGAGCAGTCTTGTGGTCACCTCTGATACGTCTGATGTATGGTAGGATGATTAATGAGTCTGGTCGTGTTGTGTCTTTCTGTTGTGGTCTGTCTCCGAGGTAACATCAGATTATGCTTTTTGGGTATCCATTCCTTTTGAAGACTCTGTACAGGTGCTCTTGATCTGCTTTGCGTAGTTCCAGGTTGCTGCAATGTGTTGTGGCTTGTTTAAACAGTGTCCTGATGCAACTCCATTTGTAGCCATTGGGGTAGTTACTAGTGTAATTGAGTATCTGGTCCGTCTGTGTGGTCTTTCTATATACACTAGTCAGGAGCTCCCCGTTGTTTCTAAACTAGTGTATATAGAAAGACCACACATATGGACCAGATACTCAATTACACTAGCAACTACCCCAATGGAGTTGCATCAGGATACTATTTAAACAAGCCACAATATATTGCAGCAATCTGGAACTACACAAAGCAGAACAGGAGCACCTGTACAGAATGAGATTGTTGACTTGCTCATCGAGCTGGCTTATTTACGTTCAGGCGTTTCGTCACCATGCTAGGTGAGATCATCAGAGAGGCCTCCAATGAAACAATGTTGTTCTACTCTGCTTGGAATTTATACTGTCCAGTCGGTTATGGTGAGTTGTGTCATTTCCGGTTTTATTCTGCATGGGTTTGTGTATGGGGTCCAATTCTATATGTTTGTTGATTGCATTGTGGGTGGAGAACCATGCCTCGAGGAATTCCCGTGCGTGTCTATGTTTGGCTTGGGCTACTACAGTTACGTTATCCCAGTTAAACTGATGGCCTTCATTGTCCGAGTGTACCGATATTTGGGAAAGTTTGTTGGGTTGTTTTGCTACTAGCTGATGTTCATTTTAATGGCTAGTTTCCTTCCTGTCTGTCTGATGTAATGTTTGTGGCAGTCGTTGTACCACGTGTAAACCACGTTTGTTCTGTATGTTGTGGGAATGGGGTCTTTAATCCATGTGAGTGTTTGTCGTCGAATAGCTGTGGGCGTGTGGGCCACCATGATTCCTAGTGGTCGTAGGAGTCTTGTTGTCAGTTCTGATATGTTCCTGATGTAGGGAAGTGTGGCCAGTGTGTTAGGGCGTACTGTGACCTTTTGTTGTTGTCAATTTAATAGGCACCTGCGGATGAAGTTGTGGGGATATCTGTTAATAGTGAAGATTTTGTGCAGGCGCTCTTCCTCTTTCCTACGTAGTTGCAGTAAGTGGTGGCTTGTTTAAATAGTGTCCTGATGCAGCTTTGTTTGTGGACATTATGGTGGTTTCTGTAGAAGTTGAGGATTTGGTCAGTGTGGGTTGCTTTCCTTTATACTGAAATTTGGAACTCCCCGTTGGTCATACATCCAGAAAGGGAAGCTGATTGTTGTTCTCTTTGTGAATTTAATCCTGGCGAATACATTGTTGATGACGAACTTTCCTTAATATCAGTACACTTGGACAATGAAGGCCATCAGTTTAACTGGAACAAGATAACCATAGTAGCCTAAGCTAAACATAGACACGCACGAGAATTCCTAGAGGCATGGTTCTCGACCCATAACGTAATCAACAAACATATAGAATTGGATCCCATATAGACTGATACAGAACAAAACCGGAAATGGCACTACTCATCATAACAGACCAGACAGTATAAATTCCAAGTGGAGTACAATAACATCGCTTCATCGGAGGCTCCACTGATGATGTCACCTAGCATGGTGATGAAACGTCTGAACAAAAACAAGCCAGCTCAGCGAGCAAGTCAACAATCTCATTCTGTATAGGTGCTCCTGTTCTGCTTTGTGTAGTTTCGGGTTGCTACAATGTGTTGTGGCTTGTTTAAATAGTGTCCTGATGCAACTCCATTTGTGGGTGTTGGGGTGGTTGATAGTGTAATTGAGTATCTGGTTCATATGTGTGGTCTTTCTATATATACTTGTCTAGAAACAATGGGGAACACTGTCAATGATGGCCTAACTGACTGGCATCCTCTTCTCATTCAGCATCAGCTGGTGTGCCTTAATCAAGTCTGTTTTTTTTTGCGTCCTTAACCTAATGAGACTCGGAATCAAATTGTCTCCTTTGGCCTTTATTCCACCCATGGGAAGGAGCAGGGACAAAAATCATGGGCTCCAGAGCCACTCCTGGCCTAGGCGTCCAGTCCCACATTGCCCCCTCCCCTCGCCAGTGCCCAACCTCAGTTATTGAGCACAGAACCAACCCCAGACCCCAGGCCCTGACTAAGGCTGCCATTTCTGAGGGCCCTTGACAGGGTAGATACTAGGAGGTCTCTCAGAGAAGGGTCATCTCAGAGTAAGGAGTTTCCCATTTAAGACAGAGATGAGGAAGAATTTGTTGTCTCAGAGGGGAGTGAATTTATGGAATTCTTTACCACAGAGGGCTATCAAGGCTGGCTTTAAGTATAATCAGGAGGGGAATCATGGGGAAAATGCAGGAAAGTGGAGTTAAGGATTATCAGATCAAATAAGATCTCATTGAATGATGGAATGAAATTGATGTGACAAATGGCCTGCTTCTGCTGCCATAGTCGTGTGGTAATAGCATCACCTCCATTCATTTTTATTTAATTTCAGTTTAGGGATGTGGGCATCGCTGGCAGGGATAGCATTTATTGCCCATCCTTTATTGCCCTTAAAGAGGTGGTGAGCTGTTTTGTTGAACCAATGCTGCCCAGCTGGAGGGGGCAGAGTTACTAAGGAGGGAGTTCCACCACTTTGAGCTGGTGACAATGAAAACGAAGGAATGGAAAAGATTGGATGGAGCTTAACTTAAGGAGAATCTTAGAGGTGATGACCTTCATGTGCACCCATTGCCCTTGACATTTAAGGGGTTAGAGGTCACAGATTTGGGAGATGTTAACTTGCAATTTCTTTTCAGAAGCCAGCTCCTTCAGCATGGTATTGGTTGTGGTCATTCAGACAGGACTATCAGATATTCCCCAGGTAGACCACCACCATGCTTTCTTATTGATTGTAGCCTAGGTTACCAATAACAAGTGAGGTAGGAAACACAGACAAAATCTTTAACAGAAGGCATGATAAACAGAACAGGTTTATTACACTGTAATATTTTGTAAAAATTCATTCACGGGATGAGGGCGTTTCTGGCTTGACCAGCATTCATTGCCCACCCCAAATTGCCCGGTGGGCAGTTAAAAGTCAACCATGTTGCTGTGGGTTTGGAGTGACATGTAGGCCAGACCAGGTAAGGATGGCAATTTCCTTCCCTAAAGGACATTAGTGAACGAGATGGGTTTTTCCGACAATCAATTCACGATCATTACAACATCACATTCAGTTCTGAGGAAGGGCCTCCGGACCCGAAACGTTAACTCTGATTTTTTTTTTCTTCACAGATGCTGCCAGACTTGCTGAGCTTTTCCAGCAACTTTTGTTTTTGTTCCTGGTTCACAGCGTCCGCAGTTCTTTCGGTTTTGACTCAGTCATCATAAGACTCTTTGTTCCAGTTTTTTTTTCTATTGAATTCAAATTCCACCACCTGCCATGACAGGGTTCAAACCCAGGTCCCCAGAACATTACCTGGGTCTCTGGATTAACAGTCCTGTGACAATATCACAAGGCCATTTCCTTCCCTCTGTCATGCATGTTACTATATTGTAATGGATACGTAGTGGCTTGCTCCATTAAGTCTATGTGAGAGACCATTATAAGACTACAAGCTATATTCAAGAATAAGTAGACATTACTGCTCATTTGCTGCTAGAACACAGCAGAACAATTGAGTATCTCCTCCCAGCAGCAGCTCTTCACATCCTGATGGACAAAGCTTATCTTGTGATGTCAGTTAATCCTTTCATGTTCTGACTGCTGCATTCAACACAATTGAAGAAGCTTTAGCACATTGCTGTAGTGCATCCTATAGATAGTGCTTGCTGCTTTCAGAGGGATGGGGGAGCAGTTATTTAAGGTGGTGGGTGGGTGTCCGCACTCCATAATTTACCTTTATTCCACAGTGACAGGCCAATCGCATTACAGGTAGGTCAGACTGAGACATTTAAATGCTCTTAGAACTTGTGGAAACCACTGAATTGAAGAAGTTTCTACTGTCGACCAAAATGTGTATCGAGACTTCAGAACAGGAGTGTAAATGTGACCCAATGCTATGTTCAATGAAGCTTTGTGTTCCTATATTAATGTTTCCAATAATCTCCAAAATAAGATGAACGAGCTTAAAATAGGGTGGAGAAAATAGGTAACTATTACTGAAGTATGTCAGCATCAATTAAAATTGCTCCCATAGTTCCAAACAGCTATGCTCTGTAATAAATCTCAGAACTTAATGAAATACAGCAAGCACCCACAGGCAATTTGAAAATGATCAGAAATGATTTAACTTGCCAAGGCTCCTTTAACAACACCTTCCAAACCTGCAGCCTCTGCCACTTAAAAGTCAGAAGTCACCCAACACCAGGTTATGGTACAACAGGTTTATTTGAAGTCACAAGATTTTGGAGTGTGGATACTTCCTCAGGTGAAATGTCTGCCACTTAAAAGGACACTTAAAAGAGATAACACGGTGTGGAGCTGGATGAACACAGCAGGCCAGACAGCATCAGAGGAGCAGGAAAGCTGACGTTTCAGGTCTATACCTTTCTTCAGAAATGGGGGAAGGGGAGGGGACTCTGAAATAAATAGAGAAAGGGGGAGGCGATGATGGAAGATGGATAGAGGAGCAGATAGGTGGAGAGCAGTTTCAGGGCCGGAGAGATTACCAAAGGCAGCAGATATATGTTTTTGACCCTTGATTTCTGGCCCTCAATCTGAGTCCATCGGAAAGATCTGCCTTCTAAAGGAGAGGCATGAACTTCCAACGCTAGCTATTCCGGAGCCTGGATTAACCACATGTTATATTACAATGGGGAAGGGATTGCAGAGTGTCGATGGAGACAAATGTCAGCAGGCAGTACTACTCTTGCTCTTCAGGATCATGAATTATTTGCCAGTCCAATGTGTAAAAGGGATTCGATTATCATCCAGTTGGATTTGAATCAGTAAACGTATAACTGTACTCAGAGGAAGACCAAAAAGAGGAAGGAAAAATTGTGCAATCCAAAATGAAATGTGCTTCTTCCTGTGTGTCAGGGAGTACTTGTGCTCTGTCAAAAGGCACTGGCAGATGTGAGACCACCAGCAACAGTTTGTGTTTATCACGTGCATTGCGAAGAGTGAAATATTCCAAGGAACTCCACAGAAAACAGTATTGAATACAAACTGATATCGAACCATGAACTGAACAGGGAATATGGCCATAAACACGGTCAGGTAGGACCAATGTGAGCAAGGGTGGCAGATACATGGGAATACTGCCACCTGCAAGTTCCCCACCAAACCACTCGCCACCCTGACTTGGAAATATATCGCCGTTCCTTCAGTGTCGTTAGGTCAAAATCCTGGAATTCTCTCTTTAACAGCATTGTGGGTCTACCTACACCATATAGAGTGCAGTGGTTCAAGAAGGCAGCTCATCACCACCTTCTCAAGGGGCAACTACGGGCAGGAAATAAATGCTGGACCCAGACAGCGATGCCTACATCCCTGAAATGAAGTTTGAAAATTATTTGCTGGGAGCCAAGGAACCGGAACCACCCCCCCACCCGCTGCAGTCATTAGCCATGTCCTCAGCTCTGTGACTCCAAAAGTGTTCCCATTGAATAGGGCAGTTGTGGTGCATTTCAACTCGTGATCACGTCTGTGCAGTAAAATCATTCCTTAGCGAAGCTGCATGTCCTCTAAGAGCCAACAGCAGCCCTTTAAGAACTGTTGACAGGCAGAAAATTGTGATATACATCCCACAGCGTCACTGACTTAGACCCCTTAAGGTAGGAGCTCACATCACTGCACGAAGAGTGTGGAGAGGGGTCTCGCTTCAGGCCCCTACCATCCTGGGCGTGTCTGCGTATAGTGCTGGTGCCACAAACCATCTGTTTGACGAGACAGACGACTGCTAGAGGTTAAACGATCTATCACAAAGAACAAACAACAGGATGTTTGCACCACCTTTTGATGCTGTCACATCGCAGCGTTGATTGTACATTGAAGCTACTTGTTGGATTTGGGGGAGACGGGATCAGGACCACTCCATTGTTTTTGCAGAGGTGGTTCAACAGTGGGAGATATTCCCAGCATCTGTTGGCCTGGTTATAATTGTTTGCAGGCTTCATCTTCAAACCAACGGTTACAGGTGAAACAAAGCACTCTGCAGAGGTTAGTACTGTAACCTTAATAGAAGTTTGTGTTGTGTACACAGTTGGAGAATTGCTTACTTAAAATCATATGTTTGCAGTGAGACTACTTGCCAAATGTTAGAACCCTCCTGGAATTGCTACAGGACGGTTTGAAATGATTTAATGGTCATTAATCTTTTATATGGAGGTGTTGGTGTTGGACTGGGGTGGATAAAGTCAGAAATCACACAACACCAGGTTACAGCCCAACAGGTTTATTTGAAATCACAGTTGCCACCTGATGAAGACGCAGTACTCCAAAAGCTTGTGATTTCAAATAAACCAGTTGGTCTGTAGCCTGGTGTCGCGTGAATTCTGTATTTATCCTTTAACATTTAGTTTCCGACTGTTATTATATGTTCTGGATGATTCTTGTGTTCCATGAAATGATTTATTCTCTCTTTTTTTTCTTTTGCAAGGGAATATTTAGGGGTATAGTGAAAGACCCCTTGCAAAGCCAAATTAATGTAAAAAATTTAGATGAGGAAATGGATTGCTTTCGACATAACTCAGTACTTGCAACTGTGTTATAAGAAAATTAACACAATTCTTTGCTAATGGCAACACGTCTCAGTTACCCAACGAGCCTCCCTGGCAAGGGAAAGGGAGTCAGAAAGATGAAAAACTGTCAGTGTTTGACATTTCTCAGTAAGTTAACAACCAAAGTGTGCATTTAATGGTTAGAATGTTTTCTGGATATGAGATATGTGCTGTTTCTCTTTGAGCATCTTGACCTCCCTGATCAGGGACGTCTGGTGTGACTAAGACAGAAACTCTTTATGCTTTCTCTGTCGTACTGTGGGTTCAAGTGATGTTATTTTCTGAGTGATAAATTTAAGTGAGGAGCTGAGGCTGATGAGAGATAATTGTATTCTCTTTTTCTATCACTTCATCACTGATCCACACTCCGTGAGCATTCAACACCGCAGAATTATCCACACCATAGTGTTGGATCTCAAAGGTGGTGCATATTATTAGGAAGCATTGAATAGGCAACATTCTATAACATCCTCTTGTCCCATAGCCATAGGTTCTAAGAGTTTTTACAGCACAAAAAGACGTCATTCGGCACATTGTTTCTATGCTGGTCATTAAACATCTATATTCTAATCCCATTTTTCAACACTTGGTACATAGCCTTGTACGCTAAGCCATTTCAAGTACTTACTAACTATTTCTTAAATGTCGTGAAAGCCCCCAACTTTTAGGCAGTGAGCTCCAAATACCATCCACCTTTGGGTAAAAGTACTTTTCTCAAATACCCTCTAAACATTCTGCTCCTTACTTTAAACTGGTGCCCCCTGGTTATTGACGTTTCTATTAAGGGGGTAAGTTTCTCCCTATCTACCTTCTCCGTGCCCCTCATAACTGTGTGCACCTCAGTCGGGTTCCCTCTTGGCCTTCCCTGCTCTAAGGAAAACAACCTCAGCCTCTCTCCGTGTTTCCTGCGTTTCTCCAATTCTCCTGATACATACTGCCTCGATTGTAATGGCTTCAAACATTGGGGAATCTTGTCTTCAGGTGCCAAGGTTCTAAACTCTGAACTGCCCTCCCTAAAATCTCCTAACCTCTTCACCTTGGTCTTTCTGCTTGTTCTCTAAAAAAACCACTCTGGCCAAACCCTATTGCAAGCTTTCGGTCACCTGTAATAAAATATCCTTGTGGAACCTGCGGTTATTTTGATTTGATTATCCTGTCATGGAGTGTCCCGGGATGAGAGTTCTAAACTCTGGAATTCTCTCCCCGGTCCTCTACACTCCTCCACCCGCCTCATTATTTGAAAGGGTGAATGGGCAGCACGTTTTGTCAGTGGTTAGCACTGATGCCTCACAGCGCCAGGGACCCAAGTTCGATTCCAGCCGTGGGCAACAGTCTGTGTAGAGTTAGCACATCCCTCCTGTGTCCAAAGGTGTTCAGGTTTAGGTGGATTGGCCTGCAGTGTCAAGGGATGTGCAGGTTAGCTAGATTAGGCATGGGAAATGTGGAGATAGAGTTGGGGGAACGGTCTGGGTGGGATGTTCTTCAAAGGGTTGGTGGGCTGAATGGCCTCTATCCACACTGTGGGGATGCAATTCTGAGGCACAGTGATAAGCTGAGGCTTTAAAAGATTGTCAAAGGTGGGGACACTTACTGCTTAAGAGACTGAGAAACAGTCAGTGGCTATTGGCAATGGATATGGAGTGATGGAAGTGTGATACAGTGCAGGGACAGAGACTTTAGGATGATGTATTTTCAATTGAGTAGTAAAAATCTTCAGAGCTCAGACTAAGTAGATGAATTAGAGAGATGCTGGCTCCAGGAAAGAAAAGTAGGTTAAGACTCAGGTGTGTCACAGGAAATAAAAATTTAGAAAGTAAAGCACTGATTGTAGGTTGGTTTAAGATTTAACGTTGTGAAGAAGTATCAATGTTGTCTGCATGGTATCCTGTTGGAGATAGACACAGAATATCACACCCACCGAGTCGAAACTGCTGCTACCTGGTCGTTTTCACAATTAAGATACCCCGCAAGTCGATCATGGACAAACTTAAACGTTTGTTTTAGCTGCATCCTCTAATTCCTTAATGACACATCTTACCTCTTAATTACCTATTGCGGGGATGGGGGAGATGGTGATGTCGTGATAATATCACTGGAGTGGTAATCCTGAGCTAAAACAGAAAGGACTGGAGAAACCCGGCAGGTCTGGGAGCATCTGGGGAGAGAGAAACAGAGTTAACATCTCAGGTCCAATGACCCTTCTTCAGAACTCAAGACGTTAACTCTGTTTCTCTCTCTGTCTACACACGCTGCCGGGTTTCTCTAGCATTCCTTGCGGTTGCCTCAGATTGCTAGTATCAGTGGTATTTTGTTGTTATTATAGTATTCTGGAGGCCCCAGGCTCATGTTCTGGAAACCTGGGTTCAAATCCCATCATGGCTGCTTAATTCAATTAATAAATCTGGAACTGAAAGTCAGTCTCTTTGTAAAAAGAACCATCTGGTTCATTGATGCCCTTTAGGGAAGGAATTCTGCCGTCCTTACCTGGTCTGACCTCCACGTGACTCCGGACCCACGGCAACAGGGGCTGATACTTGGCTGACCTCTAAAATGACAGAGTTCAAGGGCGGGCAACAAATCCTGGCCTTGCCAGCGATCCCGTAACGACACAATCGTGTGCTCGGTGTCGGTGTGTGAGGGGTTACCTTGCCAATGAAGCTGGAGGTGAACTGGGGAGCCCAGGGTTGCGATCTTAATAGTGGTGTCTTGTGACGGCCAGGCTTCCCACTGGCCCACGCACAGGGTGAGAGTGAGTTGTAAGAGGCTGTGGCCAGGGAGTCACTGAAACAGCTCCCAACGAGGAATGTCAGAAGTGATTAATGGGTAGGAAGCCATGAAGCAAAAAATGAAAAAAAGAATTTCCTGGAAGAGCCCTGCCCGCTCTTGATTGACAACAATGTGCATTGATATAGCACCTTTTAAACTTCTGAAATATCCCAAGGCACCTCAAGGCCCCAGTGTTTGGATGAATAGCTAAAATCTTAGCCAAAGAGGTAGAGGAAGAAAGTGAGGTAGAAGAGTCAAGAGGAGAGAGTTCTAGAGTTCAGGGCCACGCAGGCTGTAAGTGGGGCAACCAGTGGGGAGACCCAGTATAATGGAGGTGAATAAATGTGTGGAAGTGGACGGGTGAAAAGATTAGGGAACACAGTGAGAAAGATCAAATCAGCTTCCCGCCGATAAACCAGAGTTAATATTAGGGTCAATACAGCAGGCCAGGCAGCATCGGAGGAGCAGGA